ATTAAAAAAACATTTATTTTCGTAATAAAACTCATTCATATTCAATACTACAGGCTTATTCCAATATTTTGTCCTAATATATATATATATATATATATATATATATATATATATACAATTATAATTGAAAATAATGAAATATTAAAACAGATGCTCAACATCCATTGAAAATGGATTAATTTGATTATTTTCTATTTTATTTTATTTATTGTTTGTTTATTAGGGACTATATCTTCTAGTGGAAGGATGAATTTGATACATATACATATATAGCCTACATATAATAATAACAACTTCATAAAAATTCAATAAAACTCATAAAAATTTCTTAAAATATATATACAATATATTAAAACAGATGCTCAACATCCATTGAATATGGATGAATTTTATTTTTATTTTATTATTTTCTTCCAATATTCTGTCTTACTATATATTCATTTATATATTCATTTAATATATATATTAAAACAGATGCTCAATTTCCATTGAATAACTTTGTTATTATTCATTACAATATTTTATTTTATTATCAGGGATAATATCTGCTAGTGAAAGGAGGGACGAATTTATTAATAAAACAATTAAATTAATTTGTCTCTTTAATATTTTTTTTATTTAGGTTAACATTAAATTGTGAACATAGTTATGACTCTGCATTTCAACATCCTTTAAATATATTCACAACACAGGACAACCTTGAGTCCATTTCAGCTTAATTATGACATACTGTTCAAATTAACATCCTGAAGAATACAAATATTCTTTAAAAAAAAAGATTGTTCTGGGTACATGCATGCATCAAATCAATCCGCACTGGGCTGAAGCGAGTAAGAGCGTAATCTTACAGACATATGGGAAGGGATTATTATGTTCTAAACAAGCTCTGGCAATGAAGCCGCAGTCCACTGGCAAACCGCCTGCTAGTCTAAACCTCATCCAGCCAGGAGAATGACATATTCGTTGGCCTCTTCATTCAATTTTGATGTCACTCGTGCCAGCTAGCTTATGTATACGCCACTTCGTGCCAGGCTAGAATTCGGGCACAATAATGCTTTTAAAAGCCATTAGGCAGAATGACTGGTTGAGCCCAGATTAGCGCACAACGAGGTGATTTTATACTGCGGAGGTTGAGACAACGTGTTGATTCAGACAAGGTTGAACAGACGTTGCTGGCACTTATAGAGCACAAGGAGACAAAAACATGCTTTTTTCAGACTGACATCTCAGAATTGCTGTCATGCAATAATACAGGCTTAGACAGATTTCATCCATGAAATGTGTGCATGAAAAACAGAGGAAAACAACCAGGCATAATTTCTTATCCCTAATTCCTCTAGATGAGACAACATGGAACGAAAAACTTGCAATCCTCTTAGGAGTCAGAGAATACAGTCACATTAGCCGCACAATACATTTGAGCCCGGGGTGTACGGAGATCATAAATCTCCACCGCTGATTGATGGTGAAAAATATGGCCATTATCCTGCACACTTAATACGGCGAGAGTTAGAAAGAGATTTGCATCGAGTTCCCTGTGTATGCACATAAACGGCATTTTAGTCTTGTTTTACAATGCTAATATTAGAACAGGCTGCCCTCGGCGTTCACCTTGAGAAAATGCTTGAGTGGAGATTGTCTGCAGATTCTTGTCCACATAGTAATTAAACCAATCAGCGCGCATGCTAATGTAGGTGTGCTGAGTTTGATGTTTAGCGCTTGACTGAAATTAATTACATGAGTCAAACAGAACAGAATGAAAGTAGAAGAGAACAAAATACAATAAGTCTAATAGAATAGAAAAGAAGACTGGAATGTAACAAAAGAACAAAACAAATAGAATAGAATAGAATCAAAACAAAATAAAAACATTGAATGGAATCAAACTAAATCAACAATCAAATAAAAAAATAGAATAGAATATAACAATGGAATAGAAAAGACTAGACTAAAATGGAAAAGAGTAGAATAGAATAGAAAACAAAACACTGTAAATAAACCTCAAAACTAATGAAATGGGATAGAATAGAGCACACTTTTTTTACAATAGAATATAATAGAATACACTAAAATATAATGGAATAGAGCACAAAACAAATATTAAGTAAAACTCAAAACAGAAAATATTTAAAACAAATTAAATAGGAGAGAATAGAGCACAAACAAATGAAACAAAGACTAATGGAACAATGTATCAACAGAATAGAAAAGACAACACTAAAATAGAGCGCAAAACAAAATACTGCAAGTAAAGCTCAAAACAATAAATAAAGCTCAAAACAGAATAAAAAAGAGAGCACAAATAAAACAAAACACAAAACAAAACAACAAAACCAAACACAAATAGAATAGAATAGAATGGAACCGAATGGAACAGAATAGAACAGAACATAATAGAATAGAATGGAACCGAATAGAATAGAATAGAATAGAATTACCTCCTGGCAGTATGACAGGATCTTGCTGGGCTGGGTGAAGCATCCCTGTCGCCCCTGAGGATCTGGTTCCCACTGTCCACTCTCAGTGTTCAGGTGTAGAAGTTGACGGCCACAAAACATGGCAATCTGAGGGTCTGCCACATGAGGACTAACCGGTCCATTCACCTCCGTCATGGCCAGAGCCTGAGAAAGAGATATGGACTTATAATACTGATTCAAAGTCAGAATAACCCTCAATTCAACATTAAAGCATTATGTGCTGTACATACATGTTCATAACTGATGTTTTCTTATGGAACTAGACTTGTGACTATAACCAAAGCATGAATATAAGTGCTAACCTCAAGTGCCAGTTTATTAAAATGCATAATAATATAGTAAACAAATGCAAGAGGATGTGTATACAGCATGTTTTGCAAACAGAGGACTCTCTTAGAGAAGATATGCAACTTTAGTATCTCGTGTAGTATTGAGAAAGTGAAATAACTCAAATTGTTCGAAGTTCAGAGTGGCCTACATTCCTGATAAAAATGTGTTAAGCCTGGCTGCCTGTTATTACTGCAAACCACAGAGCGATAAGAAATATTTGAGGCCAGCAAAAATTCAGAGCAATGGGGAAGTGGAAAGGACAGGACGAAGAGAGAGGGAAGAAGGGTGAGTAAGGCTGTTATCACTGGCCTGACAGTGAGGAGGAAATATAACATGGAGGTTCATTATTGAATTTCAAATTGAGCCAGCAGGCCAGACTTGCTGATAACCCTAAATGGAGCTTATCCTCCTCCCATCAAACCTGCACGTGTAACTGGAGGACAGGCAAAGACAGTACACTCAGCCTCAGCGCAGCAACAGCTTTTGTCACTGGATAGCCAATATGCCTGCTCACCCATCAGGCGAAAATAAAAATGTTAATGAATTCAAAAGGGCAAAGGTGAACTATTATCTTTAAAAGGTAGAAGAGGCTCAGTATTATAATTGTCATTTTTTCATTCTTCTCTGTGAATATGTTTCTAAGGTATTTATTCTCTCTATGTAGTGCCCTTTCAATGATCCCTTCTTGATTATCTTTGTCTGTTTTGGAAATGGAAAACTGTGCATACTGGAAAGTATACATAAATAGCATTTAAATAAATAAATTCTATAATAAACAAAAACTATAATAAATAAACATTAATAAATAAAACACTCAAAATAAACACTATTCATAAATAAAACAGTATTGATGCATAAATAAATATTATATAATAAAAAATCAATACTATTCCTAATTAAAATAGTATTGATAAATAAGTAAATAGTATTAATAAAACACTAAAGAATAAATTTTATTATTAAATAAAATAGTATTGACACATAAATAAATATTAACAAACAAAATTCTACAAAATAAATACTATTTATAAATAAATATTATTAATAAATAAAATACTAAAAAATAAATACTATTAATAAATAAATTAGCATTCATACATTTTTATAAATAAAATACAAAAAATACACACTATTCATAAATAAAATAGTATTGATGTATAAATAAATATAAAATAATAACATACAAAAAAATTAATAATATTCCTAAATGAAATAGTATAGATAAATAAATAAATATTATTAATAAAACATTAAAGAATAAATTGTATTAAGAAATAAAATAGTATTGACACATAAATAAATATTAACAAACACAATACTACAAAATAAATACTATTTGTAAATGAATATTATTAATAAATAAAATACAAAAAAATACTATTAATACATAAATTAGCATTCATACATTTATTTATAAAAATCCTAAAAATAAACACTATTCATAAATAAAATACTAAAAATAAATAAATACTCAAAACTAAATTCTATTCATAAATAAAACAACACTGATAAAAAATATGAACAAATACTAAAAATAAACAACATCTTTAAACAAAATAGTATTTAAACATAAGTATTATTAATAAATAAAATACTAAAATAAATACTATTATTAAATTAAATATGTAAAAAAAATTAAACTGGATTATACATGCAAAATAAAGTTATGTAATAAAATTGATAATTTTCCATATTGAAAAGGAAAGTGTATAGTATTATGGGATACAGCGAGACTGCTATAGTAAACTAAGAGTAAAGTAAGAGTACGCCATTGAGAACACACCCTCAGGTCCTGATTCGTCCTAGTCTGGCCTTCTCTCTCACACATCACTCAGTTTCTAGTTCATTCACTTCCTCTCTGTCTCTTTGGCAAAGGATGTAGGTATTGATCTGAAATGTGTTCAGTGCTCCTGGGGGAAGGGCCCCGGGGATCGTCACACATGCAGAGCAAACAGTAACCCTGTGCTAGAGTCAGATGTTAATACAAGCTCATTGACCACTAGGTCATTTGAGTACATCAACACAGAGCAGGAAACAAGGGATCAGGCGAGAAGAGAAAGTCTAATCAGGGGAGAGGCTTCATTTCATCTGGTTATCTACCCATTTCACTGTTTAAGGCTTAGTAACGGTAGCGGGGCACACTAATCGCTTCTCTGCTACGAGGAAAAAATTGATATTTCTGTGTTAGTATAATACATGCATATCATTTGTCCTGTGCAGAGACAAGCCCCACATATATACATATATATTTAAGTGTGTTGCAGACAATTTAATCCAAAGCCTCTTAGGAAATATATAAAACCCTATTGTTATGTACATAAATAATTCCAAAGCAAATGAAATCAAATGAGATATAGAGCTGAGATATGTTACTTAAAACAAATTGCATAAAAAAGAACAAAATAAAATTAATTATGCTTTTAAAACATGATTTATGAAAAGAATATAAAATAAAGAATACAAAATAACAACATTGGGGCAACAAAATATAATCAACATAAGTAGGAATCGTCACAGACAGGGCTGCTTATCAGAAGAGAAAATGACTGCGCCTTTCAAAGCATCATTAATCTGGGGTTCGTCTGCGCTGGAGTGATTTATCCTGGATTACGTCTAATCTGATAAATTAGAGTCAAATTTGTATTAGGGTACAGACACTGAATTGAAGAGAGGCAGCAATTTACATGAGTGATTGTTTAAAAGTGTCAGACAGAGCTCTAGGTGGCTTCACTTATACTGACACACAACCAGCTCTGGATATCATAATCATTAATCTGTTTATTTTAATTTTTAAATATACATTTCACATTTCAATATAAAAAAAAAAATATATATATATATATATATTTGTAATATATATTTGTTATATTACAATCTTATACAAATATTCAAATGTAATATTAAATTATAAATGCATAATTATACATGAACATATAAAATAATGTTAAAATAAAACATGAATATATATTTTATAAAATACTTTTTCTATTTTAATTATACACATATTTAAATAATTAAAATATATTTTAAAATACACATTTAAATAGTAAAATATAATATTAAATTAAACTGAATTAAACGGTGTAATTTCATGTACACAAATATATTTTTAATATTAAAATATTATAAAATAAAATAACATAATATTAAATTAAATTCGAATTATATAATTATATATTAATATATTTGTAATATTCAATTATAAATGATAATTATAATATTACAATTCTCTTGAAATTTAAAATTACAATTTTAAGAGAATTTAACTGGGTATACTATCATATACATATTTTTTTATTTCTAATATAACATTATATTTTTATTTGATAATAGATTGCATTTATTTAATATTTTTAAGTTTTAAGTAAATTTTAAATTAAATTAAATAAGTATTACATTCTTTGTGTCAGGTTACAATGACACAACTAAATACATTTTGGTTTAAAATAATCATCAAAACACTGAAGAATTCATGTCAAGCTAGACAAATTTCCTTTTCATCACGCAACTAGTAATTTTGATCAGTTCGGTTCTGTGGCCAAGAGAACTAGTATAAGATATTCTAGAGAACTGCAATAATGACTAATGAGGGAGAACACACTGTAACGTGATAATAACAGCAGATCGCGTGTGCGTCAGTGCTGTTCTTCTGCATGTGTGGATTCTGAGGGGGAGTGATGCTGCGAGGTTGCATGACTTCTTTCTTGTGGGTAGATAGACGCAATCAAAGCAAAAAAACAGCCTGTCACAGTTTTTTTACACTCCAAAGCTTGCCACATTTCAATGGCATCCCAAGTGAAGGCACCAATCTGGCAATCCTGGCGAAGACTGGAAACCCGGCGTACTTTAATCTTCAACGACAGAGCGAATGACAGACACACGCACTCAGGCAACCAATTAGAGCGGAGATGCCCACAGGGAAGATGAGGGAAAAAAGAGAGAGAGAAAGGCAAAATGTGAAAGTGATCAAAGGAAAACCCTGCCTCTGCTGGCCAATGCAAAAACGTTTGAAGTCCTGATTAAAATTTATGAGGAAATAAACATATAAATCGGAGCCGTAAATATACAATAAATATACAGAGCCCACAGGAGAGAGAGAGCAGTATTATTGCAACAAATGCCATTAGGAGACTGTTGGATTAAAAATTATGAAAAAAATCTCATCAGCTTAAAGGCTTGACGAATCAGTTAGTGCCGCCGCTGCAGTTTAAGTAATGCACACACACACACACACACACACACACACACATGTGTTAAATGCTCAGAATTAACCCTGGTGTTATGACCTTGCACTTATTCATCGCAGAATTTCAGCTGTCGATTACTCATGAAACGGTTCTCAAGTGAACATCTGCTGGTGTCGTTCTTATTTTTGAGTAAAACTGATTTTTCAGTTGAAAACTCTAGACGTTTGACACAATTTCAGTACAGATTATAGGGAAAAATTATTTCCTTGAAAAAAAAATATAACATATTATAATATTATTTTGTATTCAGTATTTGTGCAATATTGGAAGCATTATTATTGTAATTAATATATTTTTTTCTAATTCTGACAGTGTAATCTTTTTCTTTACCAGATTTTAAATATATATATATATATATCTATATATATACTGTGTGTGTGTGTGTG